ACGATGTTGTGATTGGCTGTATCATGCGTCCGACGTACACACACATGCGAGCAGGACAAGCAGCAAAATCAGGGCACAGAGTAGTAGGAATGCATCCACAAGCCACAACTTATGTGGCCGCGAGCCACATCCATCGAAAATCCGGACAAGTTCCCGCCGGCCAACTAACGAGTCTTCCTATTTTTAGAGCTCTGTAGGCCATCCCGCGTTAGATGGGTAACAAAGCAGTGGCAAGGTTGGGGGACATGTGCTGACCCAGGTTCACGTTCATATTGCCAAATGTTCCCTCCGAGCCGGCAACGTCATTGTTCGCCAAGAGTCAACGCGGCATGGCGTCATTTACCCGAGTCCGGCTCCCGGCATTGCGAAACGGGTGTGCAATGTTGTTTTACTTCTCGCCATGAGGGTTCAGAGCCTCAACTTATGCGCATGAACCTAGAAGAGGCCGCTATTGTAAAACGAGGGTAAAGCAATATGGTTTTGTCTACATGTCCTTTCTTGCGATCATAAGAGCACTACGCGGTACTTGGCTGGTTCCGCGCAGCCGACAATGACCTCGGAACACATTGCAGATTATCTCTCGGGCCCGGGCTTGCTCTGGCAGTGAATACCGAGGTAGCCATACGTGGTATTTGACGGCTCATGAGTTAAGGTTGCGCATTCGCCACCGCCAAATGACGTGGTTGAGGCTTCGGCTGCCCGTGGCCGCCACCAATACATGCAGAACTACTAAACAGGCTGGGCTATATAAAGAGCCATTCGCCGACTCGGACTCTCAGTGGAGCCGTCATCATTTTCATCATCATCATCATCAATGCAACAACACATATTCTACATGATCCGATTACATGAACACATCAGAAGACATATACTATTTCATTCCTGGCCTTTACGCCCTGGACCCTTCGGCACCCGAAATCGACCCTGACTCTCACACCTGGGTGCGCGCTATCCAAATTGATGATACAGACCTGATGTTTGAGGGTAAGTCGCTAAGCTCGTGGTTCGAAGACAACCGCTGTTATCACAGCAGACACCACGGCAGACACAGCAGCCACAGCAGCGACTATGACATCCAACAAGAATAGGCGTAGAGGTCGCGGGTACACGACAATGGACTTCACTCATGATATTGGGACTTTATAGTTGGGTAGTAGTACAAATTAACTACTAAAAAGGTCCAAGCCTGGTCTTGGTCTGCCAATAATCTCAGAGTAGCATCCCGGGGAAGAAATTGCCTTTGCTAGACAAGTTAGAATTGTAGTTTGTAGACACGCTGCTGAAAATTGTCTGAATTCCGCTTGTTTCCGTTTGTTCGGACTGTCCAGCCACAACGCCCGTAGGAATCCGCTCGGATTGCCAGCAAGCCGACTTGCTCACGGATGTGCTTCCCTGGGCCTGATGAATATCTGGTTTGATGCACATCGTCTTTCGCCCCAGGAACAAGGTAATACGATTGCATATGCCCTGGATGACATCATCAGAACAAGCGCCCGGTAATGAGTGGAAGTGACAGTGGAGGCAAAATTGCGCTTCGGCGATTGCTCCGGATCTGCCAACCAATAGTAAAGGCGTACCTGCTGCACAGCTATCCGGCTCCATCTGCGGCACATTGATGGATGGTCGGGAGAGCGTCATACCCCTCGGATTAAGTTTGTATTCAGTCCCAAGTGGATGGAACCAGACGTCAACGGCTCTCCCAGGAGACCTGCCATCGACTCAACCTATTGATAATGCCATACCCCCTAATATTGTAACTGTAGCGGCTAAGGCAGAAAAGACAGATTCCTCAAACTGTCAACATCGTCGCCCCCGCATCTTTCTTACCCGGCAGTAGTCCGTTGCATCCTTAACTGGGTATGACATGTTAAACCAGGGGATTCCAGAAGGCAGCTCCGCTGGAGGCAGCAAAAGGACACTGGACCCTAGGCTGTTGGATCACACAGATATTACGCTTTTTCAGCCCGCTCCGGCGTGGTCGTTGGATGATGAGGCTGGACCAAACTGGGCGCCATTTGGTGCTTCACCAATGATGCCAGGCAAGGACACGCCACAGGTAGCAGCTCTTTTAGGCCAGTCGAGCAAAACAGGCACAGATCGCTACGCTCGTACTTCGCCAGGCGACGGGAGCGGAGCGAAATCACCAAGTACACACGACAAAGATCAACTGAAAAAGCTAAATGGTACATCATCAAGACCCACAAGGTCAAGAGAGAGCTTGCCCCCGAAAGCAACTTCTAGCTCGCCCAAAAGACACCGAAAATCAAAGCGAGCGGTATCAAACGGCGGTGATAGAGATGCCAAGGCAACTACTCATCGAGAAGGTTCGCTTGAGCGTAACCGCATTGCCGCTTACAAGTGTCGAAAGCGTAAGAAGAAGTGGATTCATAGTCTTAAAGAGAGACACTCTTGGCTGGAGAAGCGCTATAAAGATCTAGGGACAGAATATTTTTACCTCTTGCAAGAAATATCTGAATTAAAGACCCTTATTATAGGCCATGCCAATTGTCACGATTCTAATATTGACACTTGGCTTAACAATGAGGCTTCAAAATATGTGTGTAAGGTGGGAAGCGACGGCCCCAAGGGAATATGCGGTTCGAGGCCTGCACCGAGTCTAGACGGTAAGTAGTCTATAACACCAAGCAGTGGGGGTATGAACCATCTGATGGCTATGCATTCTACTAACAGAACTTCCACTATAGCGACGTCTACGTCCAGGCCGTCCGGGGACAGTAGTCAAAGTCAATATACGGAGCCGTCAAACACTTCACTCCAACTTGAGAGTGAAGATTCAAATACTAGTTTCGATTCGGACAATTCACTAGAAGGCGATTTCGACGATAATGTAGCTCGATCTTCGACGTGCTAGGCATGGCACACCTACAGGCGTAGAAGGAAAACTCTAAAAAAACTATAAAAACAAAAAGGGGGGTAAGTCTTTGTATGTCCTCGTCACGATGATGGTATTTGCCGCCATTTTGCGGGCCACTTGCTAACACTACGTGGTTCAGATGCCTATTGGTTGCAGTATTTTCAGGTGACTGTGGAGGAAGATTGCTGTCGACAACACGGGTCAAAATATTTATGAACTTGTGCAAACTTTGTAACGAGATTTTGAACGAGATGATGTATTAGTGACTTTTGAGAGGAGATGGCCCTATTTTAGGACCTGGATAGCATGAGCTACAGGCTTGAACTTCCCCCTTAGAACTTCTTACACTCCTTGTGAATAATCAATTTATTCAGATTACACTTAAAATCCCTTGTATATTCCCTCTGTAGAGTCTAGGCTAAATAGCAGTGTAGGTGTGAGCCATCTGGGTACGTTAATTTATCACCCGGCGCGAGATTTATGTCTACAGGTGTCTAGCTCTACTTGTCTTTAAGCGATACGACAAGCCTGCAATGAGCGTTAACTTCTTATATAGTATCGGTCTAATAGTGCAAAGAACTCAACTTGTACGTATTATTCCATCTTTCACTACTCGACTCGCTTAACTATGCCAGAGCATAGAAGAGCTTTCTTGTGTATTCCTTACTTAGTCTTTTATAGGAATAACAATGATAACAATAATAGAACTCCTTCTTTTACTTACCCTATATTCCTGTTACTCGCTATGTATTCCCTGTGACGTAAGGTAGAGGATATGACATCATTGTTACCCGTACTACTGGAGGCGGAAGGACACACTGCTTGATATTTATCTCATATCTAGGTTGAGGTGGTCCCCAGTCTGGCACATGCAAAGCATAGCTACCTTGCACTTTGAAACGTGGGAACGTGTATTAGCCCGCCATGACTTCACCTTGCCAAATACCGGACTTGCAACACGACAGCGAGCGAAACGCCGCTGCACCCCCCAAGCAGACCTCGCACCTACAACGTTTAGCTACTAAAGATGAGTCTACAAGTAAGTATGTACTATTAGTTTAATTTTTTCAGCGGCTAAAAATCTTTTAGAGAAACCAGCTATGGGAAAGGCTCGAACAACAGCGGGAGAGCCGCTCCGTCAAAGTGATTTGGCTGCAACTTAAGCAAGAGCTTCAGAGACCTCGATAATCTACCTAGTACAAAATTAATCCCGAAAAAAGGTTCATGGGGACTGTTCTAGTTCATGAAGCTCAATAGCCTTTCAGGCCTCTGATGTATATATGATTTTATGACATTTCGTCACTTCATCAAGTCCGCTGGTTTAATACACAGACTTAGTGGCCTGATCTGACAATATTAGGGCCCTGAATGACATTGAAAAGACTTGGTGACAGCGCATGTTCCTCTGCAAGATTGTGCTTTACGTGAGCACGTCATGGGTGTACCGAGCCCGTCCTGTACATGGAGTTAGAGAGCGGCTTCGAAACATGGTAGACGCTTCCATCCGCCCCGGAAACGCCGTGCTCGTGCTTCTGTAAGCTCTCGAGATCCACTGTCGACCACACCTTGGGAACGTTGGTCGACTGCATCGCGATTGGCAGCTGTGGATTGCATTGAATGTGGACTTGGCCGTTGTTTGAACCTATCTAGCGAGGAATTGCGGTCCTTTGTAGTTTTGTCACGGACTTGGAAGTGAACAACAGTTACATAAGTGCACAAGACGCAGTTGAAGCCTTAGGATTCCAGGACGAAAGGCTCACCGCCACTCTGTATAAATGAGACCTCTCTGTCCCCCAGGACGTTGAAAAACCAAGGACCTCTGATATGAAAAAAGGTTTTTACAGTTGAATTAAGTTATCACTTCAAGCACTATTATCCCCAACATCGTAGATGACCTCTTTCAATTGATCAAAAATCACAGACCTGCTGTTTGCTAGGGGGTTTGCTAGCTAGCTTCTAATAGGAAGCTTACTAGCTAGATTGAACTTACTAAAAGGGCCCGGGTCTCATTGATAACTAATTCATTGGAAAATGCACAATTGCGAACCCTCCCACAAAGATAAAAGGCAGACTGTCAGGTGCGTTCGCTCTGAGGGCTCGGGATTTCTCTGCCCTCCTCAATCTCTCATAGCGAGTTGTCAGCGGGGTTATGATACTGCTCCCCCAGATCTGGCTTGACGGCGGCGTCGAGAGCAGAATACTTGCTCCGACTTCTGATGGCCTGGCCATATCTATAAAACGCAAACGGGAACACAGCCAGGATGCTCGCGGCACCTCCTATCAGTGACCCGCCGCCGCCAATACCGAGTGTATGAAACATGTTGGCTGTGAAAAGAGGAGCAAAGGCACTGCCAATGGATCGGGCAACCGTATTTACAGCCATCGCCGAGGCAGCGCAGTCAACGTATGAGTCGACAAGGTAGTTTAGACAGGACACGAATGTAAGGATGAGAGCGGTAGAGAGAAATGCCCCAGCGATTGTAGGAACAGACCAGTGTATCCAGCTACAAAACATCGGGTCAACGTCATGCATGTACCACGCGAAGATGTCAAGAGGGCAACATACTTGTACTGTGCCGTCCACGAGAACCAAAACATGGTGACAGCAAAGCCGACACCGCCCACCATTCCCATGATTAGGCGGTCCTCGGGCTCGAGGCTATGCCCAGCCTCGAGTTTGTCTTTCCGCCTTTTGGTATCTAGGTGGATGATGGCAGCGCCGGCGACTGCGCCTACAACCGTCCCAAGCAAGGGAAGCTGCCCGATTCCCTCGTTCCAGCCCCGCTTCTCCTGAAATACCATGGGATAGATGGTGAAGAGCATGTACTGCAGTGTAAATATAAGTGCCATGTATACAGCGCACAGGAATGAGATGGCATCGAACAGAAGCGCCCACGGCCGTGTCAGTGCCGTCTTGTAGATGCTGGATAGCGTCAAATTAGCCGCCTCGTACTCGGTCTGGACGTTTTCGTATCCCCGGATCCCCGCCTTTCTGATTCTCCTTGCCCGCTCTAGAAGAATTACTGCTTCATTCGTCTCTGGAATCGTGAGCATAAACAGCGTGGCCGCACCAGAAAGCCACAAGACGACATAGAAGCCCCAGCGCCAATTCCTGTGGAGCACCAGGAAGCCAGAAATGATCGGCCCAAGCGACGGTCCAACCCAAACAGACGTCGAGAATATGGCCATGGCATTGCCTCTTTCCAGGTGGTCCCATAGATCCGCAAGAACGCCTGGTGCGTTGCAGAGAACCGCAGACACACACGTCCCTGCCAAAAACCTTGCAATTAAAAGGGTCGCAAAGTTCGTCGCAAACGCACAAAGAAAGCTGAACAAGACGAAAGAGGGAAAGGAGACGCGGAAGATGGGCCTGCGGCCGTAAAACTCTGAGAGTGGTGCAAATAAGAATGGACCTGTGCAGTAGCCAAGGAGATAGAGAGTTACGGTGAGACCTGCTGCTTGTTCGGAAATGTGAAAATCTTGAGAAATATGTTTAAGAGACCCGGACGGAATGGAGGAGGCAAGATTCCCCGTCATGGCGAGCAACGAGGTGCAGAAGCTGATGTACCATTTTCGGCTGTTTGACCAGTTTCGTGGATGGTTGGGATCGCAGGGCTCAAAGTCGACAAAGCCGTGGCTGTTGACATATGGTACTGGGGTAGAGTTCCGAGAGTCTGTCGTTTGCGCGTATTGGCTAACAGCTTCCATTTCGAGCAGCTGGTTTTATCCGTGACTAGGTCGTCCTGCTCGACGTCGTATTCCCGAGACGGGAACTTGTAAGAGCAGAGAGGCTGGCTCATATACCCAAATGCCGCTACCGCCTATTGTCCACACTTCCCAGAGGTGGTAGTTTCGTTACTTGAGACCACCATGCTACCCGTGTCAGAAGATATTCTTTCTAGTCGTAGAAGAGTTGAGGTAGGCCTACGCGCACGGTGCTCTTGGTCCGGCCGGAGAATGCCTCCGGCCTCCATGGTAAAATGACACATGGGCGTGAGAACTAATTACCTGGGCAGTCAATGTAGAGAGGATGGAGTCACCAAGTGAAAATTTGAAAGCTCCATTGCCAGTCTCAGCATCCGGAACGGGCTCATTGTGGTCCATTGCTTCAGCCTGAGGTCATCAGGTGCGTGGCGTGATTAAAGTTGGAATCCCGCATGCGGACAGTGTTGAAACACTTTTCGAAGATCGTGACTGCCAGTGAAGAGCTAGTAAAAGAAACCTAAAATTCATGACTACGGGAACTTGTCAACATCAAGGATGGCACCAAGGCCAAGTAGACCCAAGTAGACAGTAGTGTTATAACCACCAGTCTTGTACAAATTTATGCTTTTACACAGCAAATTAAGTTACTAGTCGCTTCATCTGAGCTATCCCAAGCAACTGGACTGTGCGATAAATCCCGTCTTCAATTAATTGATAGCGCTCCTCACACCATATTTTCTATTTACTTCATAGCGCTGTCTTGCCTCAGTTCTTTCATTAGCTCCTAGCTAAGATCGCCTCAAAGCTGAAATCGTTTCTCCACGTCTGAAAGCTGTTCTTGAATCTCGGCGCGTATTGTTGAGACATTGTGGTGAGGGCGATGGTTTAGTTTCCGGGTTCGTTCAACTACGACATAACTATCCAGAGGTAGCATTGGCCGCTGAGGATATGGAATGCAGAGACTGAACGACCGGCTCTGACCTTTTCAGATTTGCTGGGTTTGACGTCGGACTCGTTGGCCCGTAGTGTCCGGCGTCGCCGGGTGCATCAATTGACATGACAAGTGGGAGAATGACCCTCCACTTGCTGCTGCTGAGACAAAACAAACTTTTAAGTTCAAGCCAAGGTATGCCATTCCTCAAATGCCAACTGGTATAGCTGTGTTGATGAATCCGATGCTGCTTTCCTCGAAGTTTGCACAGCGTGTGAGCTTCAGTAGGTCAACGTCGATGAGTTTATTGGACGGCATTGTTCATTTAGTTATCATGACGACATGCATGGAGAACTATGGGCGTGCATGTAAGCTCAAACCCCTCCATATTCCACCAGGACCTCCAATCCCGCTGAGTTTGGCACAGTGGAAAGGACTGGTGACATGCGTAATAGCAACGTCATAGAGACAGAACTGTACAAGAGTGTTACCACGCCTGGCAGGTACGTCGACAGCTGCGTAGGGATGATCAGAAGTGATGTTTACAGCTACATTCTGGTAGTGATCATCTTTCCTTTCCCCGTACTAAACGCCTGCCTAATATGCCCTGGTCATGCCTTGGCCTCTGAGAGAACACTGTGTCGCCCCCGGACCAAAATCGGCTTCACGTATCGAATTGCTTTTTAGGCTTTCTGCCGTTTTTCGTCAACTTTACCGATTCTGGTCTCCAATCGGCGTACGGAACCGCGCAACTGAGGTTTGATGGGCTATCTCAGTCCGCCATTGCACCCGTTACTAATGTGTCAACTGGTCGATTTGTTATTGGATCTATTGATAGGGAGGGCTCGGATAGACCTCCGTAGGGGCGCCTATTAGACCGTTCTGGTAGCTGCTGACGGGTTCCGCAGGATGTGGCGTACAGCACTTCCACTGCCTCGACTCTCCAACCTCGGTTCCCAGGGCATATCGCTCTCCTACAAGAATGCGTGGTCGGTCTTTGATTCGAGGCTTACATTATGAATTAACTGCAGGAACTAGAGAGCCTCTCATCCATGATTCTATTTGCTAAGAATGATTGCTATGACACACTGCAATTTTCTAAGCCTCCAGCTACATGGGGAGACTTCCAATGGTGCGAATCGCTCTACCTAGCTTGAAATGGAGAATATATAAAGCATTTACAATAAAAGAGCAGTTATCAAAAAGAAGGATAAGCAAACATGCAGCGCAGACCAAGTGCGTCGTTCGTCGAAAGTACAGACTTGACAATAGACAGCTGACGAACTACGACAGAAAGGCCCCTCTGTCAAATGCTACAATGATGTAGCCTTCAAAACGTTGCATATCATACCCCACGAAAGAATTCTGTATTTTTCATTTCTTTTCTTTTGCAATCTCTTGACAATAGACTCGTAAGGCTCTTACTTCGAGCCACCCTTCCTACCCGCCTCCTGCGCTTTCTTGCTTCCGGGTTCAAACGAGCCAGATGAGGCCTGACCTCCCTGTGATGCTATGTCTCTCTTCTGATTATTAGAATTTTGTTCTGTGCGAATTAATTTTTCATAACGTACCTGCTTGTCAGGATCCATAGTAGCAAAGCCACCGGAACTTGCCTGTCCTCCCTTTGACGCAATCTCCTGAACTTCTTCCGTGGGGCTAAATTTGAATTAGTTATGGTTACATTGATATGGAGAAGAAATAATACCGATTGGCAAAGTTTCCGGGGTTCTCGTTTCCAGACATGTTGCTAAGTTGTAAAATCAAATGGCAAATATAGACCTATTTTGCGTAGCGAATTTGTCGTTGGCTTTGGCAGAAGAAATTCGAAATGGCCAGATTTATATCCTTTGCCTCGCTTCGAATTATCTGCTATAGAATATCAATGACGCAGCTAGGTTATTAGTATTCGGAAGCTGCCAGCGCATTTTCTTGGATATGTACATTCATTGTGACGTCACCAGAGTCAATCGATTCCGATTCGATCATGAGAGCAAGTACAACACGTTACTAAGGCGGGCTGACGTAAATGACCTATCGCTTACAATCTGGGATATCGGTACTTGCGTGGCCAGGTAATTCAGTTATTCCACAGTCGCTACTATACTATACGTATGGCTAGATTCGTGAGAAAATCGTTCCGGACGTCACTATACTGTCACTCTACGAGGTTCATGACGAAATAAAGTGCCGCTTTTGTCATTTGTTGCGAAATTTGATCTCACCTTTAGCTGGGATTCTCCATATAAGGGGCTGTGGCTGCATGACGCTCCGCCGTCGATCCAGATCCATGACCTCTACATGAACGCACTTGATCCGAGGCGGCCTTGACTCACTTGGATAGCCTATTGATTATACTATCTTTGTGGAAACATCAATTCAACAACCTCAAGTGTGATTTACGGCCGATAGAAACTTTTGGGGTGCCCGACAATGACATGGTGTGTCAAATCAGTCCGAAACACTATTCGTTCCATGACGAAGTTGTGACGGCAATCTTTGCGATTCCATATACTGCAATACACTTCTTGTCTATGATGAGGACTGTTCCCCCATTCATCTGTGCTAGTTTAATAACTGCTGGCCTCTCATCCTTCACACAATGAAAACTCACCGTCGCTATCAAACTTCGGCTTTTGGTAGGATTATCTCATCACACATTCCCCCAAGAGGATTCGAATCTACATTACTACTTCTTTCCAAAACACAGGCGACAATTTTATAAAGGCTGCCGCTAAAATGGACGTCCCTGAAGGGCAGGTACAAGACAACTCATACGTGACCGGCACAAAAAGTAACCAACCAATTCCGGTCCAGAGCGACAACGCTAGGGTGGAGGATCCCATAGATACTAAAAAGGCAGACACTGATGAACAGCTGGGTAAGGAAACGACGGAATTTCTTTTTGCGCATCTTCGTGGAGTATCTGCCTAACCATGTTCCAGAGCAAGACGATAAAGAAGCCATTGACAAGTCGAATATGATGAAGAACAGAACCAGAGGGGCAAAGCCTAGAGAAACATATAAGGAACCAAGTGACGAGCAAGGCTTAGGTGAATAGGGCGGAAGACGGCCCATTGGGCAAGAATGTATTGTAGGCTATAAGGAGTCTTGGCCACAAATAATGCAAAGCACTATCAGTCTAAAAAGGAGCTTGATATCGTGAAGAGTGCAATTTGAGGGTAAAAAATGGCGGAAGTTGCCGGATGGTCGAAATGTGACTTTGGGACTGAGTAGACCACTGTAAGACGCATCTTTCTCAAAGCGGTGCCTTAGCCCCTAGCATATTTACTTGAATCCTTTGCAATACTAACTTTATCAGGTGATTTAGTATTATATGTAGAATAACGTAGAAACACTGGCAAAATTTGGAATAACACATCGAAATTATACAGGGGCACGATGGTTAAACCAAGCCGAAGGGCAAACCGGGCGCTTACTACCCGAAAATTTTTATAAACCTTGTAGACGAACCCCAGGCACGAGGCCTATCAATTGAATTAACACTCGATACAAGAATCCAAGTCTGCCTTCGACAAACGAATTTTTGAACTGTTAGCCGGCCGAGCTTAAACTCTAGTCGAGAACTCCATACAACGGCTAAACAGTTTCACCATCAATGTCCATCGGCGTGCTAAATCCGTGGTTGTCCATGCCAACAACACCCTACACCGACCCAATGCCTTGGGCCACAGGGCAAAGGAACCGGGGCGTCGAACTCGCCCTGACAGAAATCAGCCACGACCGGATCGCAGTTTAATCCTTGTTTTTCACAAGGATTACCTGGAAACCCGCCTAGCGCGCCTAGTTACCTGGTTAGCTTACGGATATACAGGAGCTTAAAACACAAACCAGAGATGGAAAGACTGGCAATATTAGCATTGTTCATTACGCGTGAGGACAAAATATGCGTACCCAAGAATCGTGAGTGCGATGGTGTGTTTCATTGTGGGCTATGTATCGGTCTTTATTTAGCTTGATTTGGAACCGAAGGGTGAATAAATAATTTGGAAAGAAAACCGCCGGTGAATAGTTTAGGGACTAACCTGCAATATATAGTAGAAAAATCTCCTTCCATGCAACATTCAAACGCTAAACCAAGTTGCCTGGCGGTTAAAACAGCAAGACTCCAAAGCACAAGCCGAGATTAGCGTTAACAAGGCAGCTGGAAACCTAACCTTCTTAGAGTTCCAACGTATCATCAGGGGGCTTTGGATCCACCAATAACTGCATATGTGCATTTCTTCCCCTCCTCGGGCAGTAGTTTGCTGCGTCCCGACCAGAAGACTTGAAGACCTTATTGCGGGAGAAATAGCTAATTCTATAATTCTCAGATGGCCAAAGTTAGCTCTGTAGGGTACCCATAAAAAAGCTTCGATTAATACATGTATGGAAAAGTTTGAGTTTAATGTTATTGCCGCTGATAAATCCACTAATTATATTATCCGTAGGATATTCTGCCAAAAGTTTATAATACTGGCAGTCGAACTTCATTCAGCAATATCTTGAAAGTATAGCAATTCGCCACGGTTCTGTCTTGTTCTTGGTAGCTCTTGGTCGCACTATGCTGCCTGTCACATTTGCCTTTCGCCGGTATCTTCATTTCATGTCCGTACAAGTTAGACAGACCTTGCGTAATACAAGATGTCAACGTGATGCCACGTGTGCTAGAGCGCCATCAACCGTGCCACTATAAATGTGAATATCACAATACCACTGACGCGATACCACGGCAGGAAGTGTGCTCAACGATTTGGCTTCGGTGGTGTTGCCGACTCCGCAAGACACCACCAACAGCCCTTCTACCACAAAGGCAATGATGAACCGCTCGAGAACTGGTTCGTAGGCTGGGTTCCAGATATGCGACATACTCGTCCTTAATTGTCCTCCACGTTTGCTCTTAGAGGACGTTTGTACTTGTACAAGGGTTTAAATTATGTCGACTGAAGTAAGTTCATAAGTGGCCTTGCAGGTGAGCAACTTGGATCCACTCGCACACGATGGTGAACAACAGGCTTAGATGGCTTGAAGGCGATGCTGCGGTCGTGTAGATGCGGTTCTGCTCCCAGCAGCATCTTGTGCCAAGATAAGGTGGTTTACTCGACGGTTTATTCATTCTGAACGGGGCTGGCATTATCAGATGCAAATCAGATGTCTAGTCGACGTCCTCGGAGAATTGAGAGCCAGAATACCACTCCTGTAAAAGTGTTTAGAAGTTCATCTTCACCGGTAGAAACTAAAAGTACACATCTTAGGTTCCGGGCCAAATGGCTCTATATGGTTTCTTCGGTTGCAGCGCCGCAATTCAAGCTTCAAGCCAGTTGTCCCGTTGTCTCCCCCTCCCACATTGGAAGGCTTCATTCGCCAGATACTCAGCGTGGTATTTCGGCCAAGCACACCAGACTCTATTCACGATATGGATCGGCCCACAGAATTGAGCGTTATCCACACAAAGAGGCAAGTGAATACACATTAATGGGATGCTAAAAGGAATTGGTACAATCATCATTGATTACTGTCGCTTTGCGCGTTCGTCCTTCTTGTATACATACATGATTGTCTGCCTAAATACAGAAAAAATCCCCTCATTTTATGATCAACACAACATTTTCTCCTCCCATGGTGACCCATATTGACCGCTCTATCCTATAATATCGAATCACGAAGATAACGGGGTATATTCTTAATAAAAAGAGGTTTAAATTGAAACTAATCGGCCTCGACAGAGGGATCCAGTCGTTTAGAGAACAGGCATAAAAACATGTGCTGTTCATAACAAGCATCTGCGTGGTCACAGTGAACAGGCGTTCAACGAGGTGGAACTTGATCCGTGTATCTGTGGTGCGAGAAGAAGGGAGTCGAGAGTGTTTGCTCAGGTTCCTTCAATCAAAGCTTGTACGACTTCCATAGATATATCAGTGTTACGCCTACTGAATGTGGCCATATAAAGTGGTGTTCTCAACAATGTCCATCGAGTATCTTACATGCTGCGCGGGCACTAAACTCCCGATCTCACTTGAAGGCCGAATTCCGATGAAACCTCATATGATGATGAGGTTGGGTAGTATTAAAAAGGGCGAATTACAGCAATAACGGAAGCTCAACCAGCCGGCACCCTGAGACTTTGCCAGGGACGTTTACGGACTCTAGAGAAGAATATTCAACATGTTACACTAGACATTACCCTGGAGTGGTCTGTGTGGTTTTCGTTATTAATGTCGACTGCACACAAATACGGAAAGAATATTGGCTACTTTTCTAAGTAACCGAGCTTTACAGATTGTCAAAAGCAGCGTCAGCTATAAATAGACACTCTTTCACGTTCGTTCATTCATTCGTTCCGTTTAACATGTGTATAAGTGAGAAGCCGAGCCACTATGGTATATAAATGCCGTACTTCGGCTAGTAGGTCTGACGCATCGCGATGCGTTAATGATGTACGTGATTAATTACGGTTCCCTAGCGCAAGTACGGTTAGAGTATAGTGTTATTAAGTGTCTTGTATTTAGTCCCCCTTTTTATTTTTATTTCTTTTTAATTAATTAAACAAATGCCTTACAATTGTCTATCTAAAGCTGATGGGTACAGACGCAGAGCAAGGGCGAGTTGAGCCTTAGGCTCGGGACTATACATTTGCTGCACAGGTTCTAAGGTGAAGTGAGGGTAGTTGAAGGGATTTTGCAGTGGCATGCTGAGTCAGGGGATTGGTCGCTTTGTTCACTCAAGTTTAGGCGAAACATTTCCTCCGTACATATTGTAGTTTTTAAGGGATGACTTTTATGAGATTCATTCTAGAAAACCAGTTGAGGCGTCTTGATCCGACAGTCTGGTTCGGAAGCTCTGCAACAAGACGGTCTACCATCTGTTTAATGAATCCTCACCCCCTGCTCTAGCTCATCACATACTATAGGCCACTCATACGAAAGGAGTGATTATTCCCTTGTATATAAATCGGTAGATTCTGTGAAACTATTTTGAACAATTCGACCTCCCTTTCCAGACATATCCCACAACTGGTCTCGCAGCCCGCGAACCTCCGTTTCTAGCTCTTCGGCACTGGCCGCCCGTGAAGCGTTGTCAAAATCAATGAGCGTTGCCTTCCCTTGGTGAATGAGAAAGTTGTGCTTATTGACATCCCCATGTCTGATGCCTAACTAGTGAAGTTTTGATAGAGCCTGGCAACACAGAGAGAAGTCTTCCGGCGTGGCATGACGACAGTCAGCGACGCGGGCCATGACGAAGCCGATAACCCTGCCTTCCTCGGCCAGGTGGCCAAGAAAATCCGGGCCAATCCGGCAGCCCTCTATCCATTGATAAGCTGTCGTCTCGGCTTCCAACAGAGGCACCTCCCATGGGAATCGGGCGAACTTGGCGATAACGGGTGACTTGAAGCGGGGACACGTGGCCTCGTAGACGTTGGAGCGGAGTTTTCGTCCCATGTGAAGCTCTAGGTGGTCGATTTGAGCGGGATGCCAAATCTTGGTAATTCCCAGGAGGGTTGTGCTTGAGATGGCAGAAAAGTGAGGAGCCCCCGTCTTGGGATCGCGCGAGATACGGCCTTGGTTCCAATCCCCGAGTGGAAGGGGCGGAAGCAAGGACACAAGAGAAGGCTCGAAGCACATGTCATCTTGGCTAAATATGCCGGCATCGATGGTGACGTACTTGACAAGACTGTTGTCGACGAGAAGACGGAATTTGCTTTCGTCATGGGGATCAACGCTTGCTTGAAGCAGCTGGAGATTGGGGGGGCTGCGAGCCATCCTTGGCAGTGTGCTTCCTTGATGTGGTTGATAGAAGAGAAGCAGACCATTTCGCCGGGCCAACTGATCTGGACTTATTGGTCAGTAGGCACGCAGGCAACGAAGCCAACGTGCATTAATCTCGTTGGACAGCGCACCTGCAGACTCTACAACGTCACCCAGCCAATTCAAGTCAGAAAGGCATACTAGCTTTCTGATGCCCCCCACGAATTATATCCCCACATTGTTTTATGTGATCATCAAAAGACGCTGGCGTGAATTTCCGCCTCCAGTGAAGAGGAAAGCGACTGGACTTCGCACAGCCAACACAATGAAAGCCCCATTCCACCTCACCCAGCGATGTTCTGCTCAGCCACGGCACACGAACAATCGCCACGAATCGAAGCGGATTTCCCGACTCTCCATCGAAAGGATCTGCCACCTGAGGCATCCGTATGCGGCGTGAAGATCCGGACTGTTGTGCTTGTATCGCCCTCTTTCTATTGGCTTGGAGTTTCTTTGCCACGACACCCGCCACGAAGTCGTCCATGGCACCCAACGACCCGTGCTGGGCGATGCCAGCATCAAAAGCGGCTTCATAGTCGACCAGAATAGTCCCAGTAGCCTTCTTCTCGTTCGGCGAGTATATGCCAGGTATTACTCTCATGCAAGGCAATGTTTTAATGATGGCTCTCTCTAATCCAAATTTCCGACACGCCTGGTTGGGCCGCAGTGGTAGGTATTTCTTATCCTGTGAAAAACAGAGAAAACAAATCCGTTTGCAGGTGAGAATATAGAGGTAGCCGGCGAAATCGCCACATTGTTCGCAGCCTGATGTGCATAACTTCTCGAACAGACTTTTACAGGTAATCCACCTGCTAGTTCCAATGTTCAGGATACCACGTAGCGCATTCCTTGCGTTGGCGGTAATGGCCTTGTATTGTGGAAGATGGTCAGTTAACTCTTTAGCTCGTCTGTTGGTGCATCGAAAGTCCATGAAAGTGCCCAAGTCAAGTTGGATGAGGATCTCCTGAAGTAATTCGATTGGGAGACGGTCAAGGGCACCGAGGCTTGAAGTAGGCGGTGGGTCGAGAGAGTTGCTTTGACGTCGACATTGCAAGGGAGGCAAATTATCATCTAGGGTGTGGTCGTTGAGGTTTATGTTTGGGTACGTGAGATGAGAATGTTTGTCCATTTTCATCGTCTTGCGCAGTACATGGCGAGAAGGGGCTGCCGACTGTAACACGTCTGGTGTGGGCGTACCTTGTACGCGTCGTGAGCCGGGCGGGAGAGCACGTGACTAATCAGCTGGAATAACCTCACTCTTAACAGGGAGCATTTATGAAAAGGCACACTTGTCTGTGCGAAGAAAGTAACCAAGTTAACCAAGTAGGAAGCTAAACTTTGTGCTTCTTATCCTACAAGACCAGCTGTTATCAAGTGAGCTATCCGTGTTTTCCATGGGCTCTGTATGCATAGAAACCGGCACAACGTGGCAGCTATGTTACGCTACTACATTATGATGCCACTTTAAGAGAAAAATGTCAGAAGATCTGTAGCATTTATCTTTCATGAAACCCTCCCAATTTCTCGTAACGTAGATTCTAAGACCCTTTTGCCTCTTTGTCTTATGGGGGAGATCCGATTGTTTTCGTGCCTATCTCTAAACCAACATCCGACAGGTATTTTGTATTAGCTCTTGTGACTTTAGCTATTAAAGCAATATTCAATCTTAATAGGAATCTAATCGTCTAAACAAGCATCTACCCACACATATGACCTACCATGAGTTTTCAGCTTAAGGGATCGCGAATACAAAGTCTCGTAGCAGAGCAAGCCGTCTAAGTCATCAAGTGCAACAAATAGCTATGGCCTTCTCTCATATCCACATCAAGTCCCGTTGAGATATTCCCCCAAACTTTGCTTAGCTTTAGTCCCCCCATCAGCGTATGTGATAGTCATGTGCTGGGAGCCTGCTGTCGCCGTTCTATAGCCACCGTGGCCCTGATTTGGCCCGTAATTGACCAGCATAGTAACAGATTCACAAGCTGGACTTGGCCGGGAAATCCACGACTGCATCTGTTTCGGGCCTTGATTATTGTTGCCGGGGCTTCTCGGCTGCATGAGATGCTAAGCTGTGAAGGACATGATTGCCAGGGCAAGGGGTGGGTTAGAATGTCCACTCCGCAACTACTCATTTCGGTGAAACCATCTCCAAGAATGAGGTTTGCACCGGCTCCAATTCAATGTGACACCCTGGTTCGTGGCTGGACAAACGAAATATCATCCACCGAGCCATTATTTGCGACGTGGAGATTATCCAGATCAAGATGAATGCTGATCTCATTGAGATATCGAAGGCCAGCAACTGACCATTGTCGACAGTTTTCAATCGCACGCTGGGTAGTGCCCAATCGTACAAAAGTATTTATATAATTTACAAGGCATAGAAATCACTAGATATCTTTTTTTATAATAAGTGTATCCCTAATTATAGTACTTTTTGTTCCCTGGTTCTCTGAGGGAATTAAGCCGTCGTAAATAACTGGGGTCTTCTTGAATGTAGTCCGTTTATCACGCGATACTAGTTTTGACAAGTCGTTGCCGCAGCATTTCTCACAGCTAGTCTCATTACTCGGAGGATGGGCGACACGAGTTCGTTATAGCCTGTCGGCACGAGGATGTGGCCGCTTAAACTCCTCTTGAGGTGGCTTTCTTTGAAGAACGCTATGAATAGCCTCTTTAAGCTTACGGCCCTTCTTTCTTATATTGAGTTATAAGTCCGTTTAACGCAGCTCGAAGAAAGGCCGGAGGCTGGTTTTAAAAGCTTGAAGCCTGTACTAGGGAAGGATGACCCTTGTATCGCCTTGCCAAATCATATTGGAACACACCGCCATTGCCATCCCGAGGAGCGACAACCAGAACATCATCGAGACGTGTCGTGCTTTGAACTGGGCGTCCAGCCACTAAGACCAACCATTCGGCCGAGTTTAATATTCTTGAGCGAGTTCCAGATATCCTTCGAGCTCTAGCTAGATATGTGTTGTATCCAAGCTAATACAAGCGATGTCGCCACGAAAACTGCCCTGATACTCACGCCTATCGCACCTAGCAGCTGATGTCTCTTCCATACCCCGTTATGTCAGCAGAGATCCAGTGCGGCGCTGGACGATAAGTGCCAAGCAGCAAATGAAATTTGGAATCAACGATGGTAGAGCAGATGAAATGTTTCAAGTACTAGCTACAGTTGGCTTAAACTTGACTTATCATCAGGTGGAAGCCTGGAAAATCAATCAGAGACTTGTTCCTGCAGCAGCAAGGCAAGCTACGCATCTCGGGGCTTTGGGTCCGACATTTGATCCATCAACTTGGCAGAGAAGAGGCAGAAAAGCTTCAGGGCTTTGTAATTTGATTCCTCGATATACTCGATACAGACATTGCTTAGTATTGACCTATTCCAATACAGATATATTGAGTATTCGACGATTGAACGCATCGCTTGTGCTACAACTCTTCACGCCGGGCTCGGAACGCATGAAAACTTGATGGTAGATTCCGAACATTTATAGCTCTCCTCTTGTCTGGTCGCCAGCACTCGCAGCAATAGACTCGGCTATTTCCTTCCAAAATGAGCAGATTTTCTTCGTGTTACGCTCATCGCTGACATGATGAAACGAATCCTCTGGTGTCCCTCCTAGCTGTACCCTTAGAACGCGCGAGAGCGCATCGTCGCTGCCATCCACGGGCGACCACTCCAATGGAGGAGATTCGAGGAGCGTATTTGGGTCTCCCGACACACCAAATGACGCATAGTATCCCTGATATGTCGAAGTTACCGCATTCGTTAGCCACCCGGCGTAGAGTGCTGCCATCTCCTCTGTCATCCCTGGCAAATCCAGCGCGAGCAGGAAGCTTTTTGCCTCTTCAAAATCGTTGGTAAAGAGTGGGATCAAATCAGCTCCATGGGATGCAACCTCGTCAAGCGGGAATGCATATTGCATGGCATAAGTCTTGCCAGGGTATGCGTCAGCCAAGTATCGGGTGTTGCATGTGATGACGAGGTGCTCTATAATGGCGCCAGCGCAAGCTCTGAAGTCCCCATTGAATCTAGCCTCGCAGTCGTATTCCCCTTTGATTCGAGATCTCTGAGGTTCCAGTGCTTCTCCAGGGAGAAACTCGGCCAAGTACCTGTCAAAAGATTCCCGGTCTACAACTTCTTTGGGAACAAAAGGTCCAGATTCGTTCATGACATGGGAAACAATGGCCGAGTCAATACCTTTCCAGTACGAGCCTATTGCATTGAAGATGAGCAGATTATTCCCAACCATGATCGCTGCATGGGGGTAAAGACAATGGGGTTTTACCTTGGCCAAGCGCCAGCGAAGGCATCGTCTTGATCCATTTTCCATCGACGGCGGGACCGACTGGGAATAACCCTCTTTCTATGACTTGTTCAAAGAGCTTCTGGTTCGCCTCTGCCAACGCCTCTGGAGGCGCTCTCCTAAGACATTCAATGTCATAATCGAAGCCGCAGTCTGCAAGGTCAGAGAAAGTCCTGTACATGGTGTCCAGCTTGCCATCGTCGGTATTATCCCAGGCCCACTCAAAGCCGGGACTGAAAGCAGCAAAGGAGCGGAATAGAGGATCATGGGCGCCGTCTTCTCGAACAAGATGATGCAGAATGGAGCTTCCACCTGCAGACAGACCCCACGCACCGACTTTGTCTTTGTTACCCTTGACCTTGTGTATATGGTCACGTACCCACTCGAATAGCAGAGCTTGGTCGTGTAATCCAGCATTCGGCGTGCCAGCATCTTGCATGTAATTGCCTGCGAGCCATCCGTACGCTCCGAGGCGATAGTTACCTGCAACAAAGATGGCGGTGTAGTTGGACGCACTCAGCATCGACCGGCCAGTATATAATACGCCGCCTTGCTCCTTGCTGCCAAAGGCGAAACCGCCTCCATAGACCCAGATGATGACGGGCAATGGCTCAGCATCGGGGAGGAAAGCCTTTACTGGAACATAGATGTCAAGCAAAAGACAATCCTCAGTCTCCACATGAGTCGTTTCATCGGGAGCCGCCAGCGGGTTTCTGCCCCCAGGAGGGTGTTCTAGTTTCTTAATCTTGATCTGATTGCAAGTGATGCTCCGGTTTTCTCTCTGCAACGCATCGTCCTCCCAGTCTGGAGATGACGGGGCGGAGAAGCGACGAGGTTGGGCTCCGAATCGCACGTTTTTAAAGAGGTAAATCTGTAATAGGTCAGACAACTGCGATGGAACTACTATCCTGTTCTGTTACTAGCAGCATTTCTCACTCACATTTGGATCTGGCTCGTATTGTTGGGCTTCCCATGTGCCCCATGGCAGTCTTAACTTTGGGAGGTCTTGAGCCCTTACAGCTCTGGTAAGGGCCAGCGCACCATACAAGAATATCTTTACCAACATGAGGACAAGGTGGGTTCAATGAAAAGCTGAATGATGCTTTGCACGACAAGTGTGAATCCGGTACTCCATAATGGTCCTCGATATGGCTTTATACTGGCATTGTAGGCCTCCAGTCCATGCTTAGTCAACGAATTTTGTGTGTGACTTGCGAACAAGTTTGCTTTTGCGACAATATTTCTGACTATAGATAAGCCCTAAATTCCTGGTTAATTGCACCCATGACAACAGCGACGGCATTGTGAGACAGGTTCGACTGTTATTATATATTAGGAGAATAAAAATGCAACACTACAGCCGTATATTTGGTGCTGATGTCGCGCCATCTGTGATACGGAGGACAAATATCGATGCCTTTTAGCATAAAAGAAATTACATGTCAATCCGTCATTGGTTGACATATATTAGCGGGCGTTCTTTCTTTCTCTTTTCCCGTTTTCTTTTGTGATTCATCATGTTGACGCCCCGCGCACCCAGTCGGTTACTGAGAACCGTACGGAGTACCTTTGACCATTTGGTGTGGTATGTAACTATCGATACCTAGCTGACAGTTAGAACAAGACATTGCTAGGAATGTTGCCAGAGACGTTTGTCACCTAGGAATAAACCAGATGTGGCTGGTCCTGCATCCACTTGGATAGAACTTTCTGATAGGCAACGACATTCCCACACTTATTGTGGACATAGCAGTGCCTGTCTTTAGGTTTCAAGGTGTGTGTGTCGGCTCAGGTTTTTGTTGGGCTGCATACTGGCGAGACCTATTCGACCCGCGCATCCTAGCCATCACACCGTGTTACGTAGCCGTTCCTCAAAGTAAGACACGTCAGCTAAAACCCTGCGAATCAAGTGACTCGACAGTGGGAGACATCACGGACCAATACAAGACAGTCCCCGACTCGGCACAGTGTACCGCCGCATCAAGAAAGAGTAAATACTCGAGGGCGAGGTGCTGGTATGTGATGACGACCCTGGGAGAACCGACTCCGTGGTACGAAATTCGACAACATGAGGAGCTAGACGGTCGTCATACCTCGCCGGAACCTTCCTCACCGCCAGAAAACATCGCCTTTGATACCAGCCCAAATTAGACCTAGATTGTCTAAGAAGCAGTCTAGCCATTTACATAAAAACAATGTCGGATAAGCCCTCTCTTCCACCATATTACAAGTTTTGTCTTCCACCATGCGGTCAACATAACTTCGGCCTTTGGGAAACTGACACAGATTCGTGAGATATATAGTGTAAATAGGTGAGAAAGGGCGCAAAATCGTGGCGTGTGACATGACTTCGGGACAACCCACATTGTCAACCGGTGCAGGGAAACGTGACACGTGACAACATTCGAAGACACGTCCTGGCTTGTTCCACAAGATCAACGGCCTCATCATCCAAAAGCCTCTATTACTGCTTGTCCAGTGATGAACAGAAGAGCTACAGGTGCGGGAGTCTCTGCCCGGAGTCGGACGTTGAGACGAAAACAGCTAGAAGACCTGGGCTTTTCTTCTGGCATGTTCTAGAACTGTTCGACAACGGGTAGCAGAGTTCGTGTCCAACGGCATCTTGATAGGAACCTAGATCTCGCGTTGTGTTGGGCAGAACCATCAAGTAGTGTCAGAGCAATCCCCACCTCGCTGGCCGCTCTAAGCTGCCAGCGTCGGCGACGAAGAGAAAATTGTTTGTTCCATAATGTTCATTTCTCCCACGTCGCTCAGTCTAGCTCTGGAGCATCATGGGCATGATGATGTCGTCGTACTGCCACAGCGTCGACTGGAAATTGACGGACCACGCGCCGCCAGTCCACCAGGTTGACCGTCTTCCCTGCAATGTGTACAGTTTCTGGAAGAAACCTCGCTGGACATGATCGACTGACACTCTTGCATGCATCGGTCCATGAGTAGAAAAGGCCACCCAGTGGACTTTTTCGGGGCGAGAACCCCGTAGCACATGAGCATTGAGCAGAGTCTTAAAGTCCCTCTCCACCAAAGCCTTCGCACCTTGGTCATCGAGCTTGTCGTCGCCGATGACAGTCACCCGAAAGTAGTGTCCTGAACCCATGCAGTCGATACGGGCAGTGAATGGGGGCCCAGGGTACGACAGGTAGTTGTTTGGCGCTGCATTGGAGGGGAGGCTGAAGTAGCTTGTGTTTGCAGCGAGGGCGGTATTGTCGATGATGCCGGTATACTCGCGCGTGTAAGTGAACTTGGAAAGAGTACGCTTCTCCTCGGGGTCCAGACTAAACGGCCCGGTGTTATCCTCTGTCGGTTCGATGGCAATCAAGAGAGCCCTGGCAGCAATGTAGGTGAGCCTCCCGGACTTCAGGTGCTTGACCGTGACTATGACGCCAAGCTTGGTACGAAGGGTGCTGACGACCGTGCTGGCGTACAAGACATCACTTCCGAGGACGGTGGCCACGGCGTCGTATAGATCCTGGTTCCTCCCTGAAGCTGGTACAAAGGCGCCTTGCAACCCAAGAGCCGAGCGGGCCATGGACGCACCGAATGCTTGCAGCGCGAAGAGCGTAATTGCATTGGTTATGTTGCCGAGCCCAAGACCCGTGGTCTGGTATATGAGTGGCATCGCATTGTCAAGCCCATGCTTCGACACAAAGTCGCCAAAGGGGACTAGGAGGTCTCCGGGAATATGGCTAGGCTCAACGACTCGCAGGAAGTCGGCCAACGCATCGAGTTGGGTGGCGACCGGGGGCGGAGCAAAGTCCAGCATCTTACCACTCTTGAAATCAATATACGTAGTGTTGACGGGGATATTGATCCTGCGGCCACGTCTGACGCCCAGCCGATCAAAGAAACCGGTCGCGTTGCCCGCCTGGATAAATGCCTCGACGCCAAAGTCGTAAGGCGTGCCGGTCTTGGTGTCGACATACGAGTCGACGTGACCGCCCTGCTCGAAATGAGCCCTCAGCACTTCCCATATACTGGTATTTGTGGGGACGCACGAGGATTTCGTCCTTCTCAACCAGGGTAATTGACTTTCCAAAGTCTTCACGAAGGCGGACCGCAGCGTATGAGCCTGAAGCACCACCACCGACAATCACAACGTCTTTGAAGAGCAAGTCCGGGAGCGCATTCATTGCTGCCACCAGGCAAAGAGAGAAGACTGATGGTCTCACCATTGTGGATTGGAAATATATATTGACTAGAGGCATCAGAGTGGCAGCGGATGGATTTTCATCGACTCTATTGCGCAAAAGCCGCGAAAGAAGCTCCCCGCAGCTAATATAGACATGTAGTTGCAAAGTAGACCCTATTCCATCGACTGCTGCATCTGCAAAGGGTCACATCACATCAGACTCGACCAACCACGTTATGGAGCCCATTGACAAAGACTGGGACGATGCGTGGCTACGAGACGTGGCCGGCCTGGCTGGCAAGAGGAGGAAGCGTGCAAACAACGAAGCCACACGAGGGTTTAGTCCATTGACCTCGTGATGTGATACCCGTATGCAAGCCACGTTACAGGCATATTTAGATGAGTGAGGGCCGCAAAGTCATCTTTATGCCACGGCCGACTCCCGATGAATGTAATGAATACTGTTTTTTTTTCTTCGCCCAGCTTACTAAAGAGCAATTATGCAGTTGCTATATACAAATTTTGCCCAAGCTCCCTTTCTGCTCTTCTCCCTTGGGTGAAGACCGGCATAGTCTGTCGCATCACCTAAAACCGAGCCCCATATGCATGCTTCTTACAATGTCTGGCTGTTTCTTTTAATAATATCATTGAAATTCGTCTGTTTCCACCGAGATGTATCTTTTTTTAAAACCGGACCTCTGCAGCATCTGTGACTAAAGTCTGTCTAGTATGGCAACGACTTTGGGTTACCAGCATCAATCACGGCTGCACTCAGGTTTCTAGCACAATGGTCTGCCATTCGCTAGATATTTTGCTTTGAAATTACTGACCATAGGATGTATTGATCAAGTTTATTTCCAAGCACCACACCATGAGAAACCTACGCTCAGATACGCTGGAAACCCGGATAAAAAGTTAGGCTTGTCCTAGGTGAGGTGAACCGCCCGACCTATTAGAGTTCGTCCAATATTACTTTTACGGATCCTCGAGCTACTGGCAGAACCGATTAGGATCGGTAGCAGGAAGAGCTAAAAATTAATCAGTCCGTACCCGGATTTGAACCAGGGATCTACAGATTTGCAATCTGCCATCCTAACCACTAGACCATACGGACTTCTTGATTATGTCATGACTGCGTCTATTTTACCCTATCAATTGATATGCCTTTTTCAGGTCTTGATGGATCCCGGAGCTGCTTCTACGACGGCTTTCAATCTCTTCAACTGGCCACTTACCTACATATTTTTCGGTAGGATGACTCACTAGACTGCACCTTTCCAAGAAAGTCAGTCAATCAAGTCCAGCGAAGGAGGGCGGGGATGCACGCCAACACGCTTCCACTACACGGTCTGCGTGGCCACGTTTCAGGACCGTCAGAAGAAGAGCAAACACATGGATTGAGTAAACCCTTCCCATCTGTGAAGCAAGCGGATCATTTTGCCACAGGAGTAGCCGACTATGTTTCCGGGTCGCTGCGAGTCGTGCTCTGCATGTTGTTTTCAAACCGCAGGTTTGTTGGAGCTCCTTGACAGGCTTGTGCGACCCGACGCGAAATAACGGCGTCGCAAAGCTCGCGCAGGACCTTCGTGGTCCCAACAGCTGAAAGGCATACTGAAAGACGCGCAGTCAGGTTGACGTTAAATGCTGCATCGTCAAGAATACCGGCGCAGCGAAATTTTCTTGATGCAATCAGAAACTGCTAGCCCATGGGCTTCGCGTTGCCATTTGACGGGAGCAGAGGAGAAACCTGATGCATGTCTCGATGGACCCTCACCAACATGCTGCGTGCCGAGAACCTCGCCGGCCTTGGTGTAGTAGCGTTGATATGGAAACAGTAATAACTGCAGAAATCGTAGTATCTCGCGGGAATTTCTGTATACAAGTACTCCGTAGGCGCAATACGATCCGCACCCAAGACCTTGCTGTAGGGGAGCACTTATCATTTTGGACATGTCATGGTGTAAACGATATTGTGAGGTAATCGTTAAATCGTCAAAGAGCAAAGAAACTGATTCGCAAGTTAATTCTAGAAGGCGACCGAGATGGTTGAACAAAAGAAGGACCCACCATGAAAGAAAAGCGTCAACGGTTTTACTTGGGTTTAGTATCTAGAATTACAGGCATATTGGATCCTGCATAGCTGCTAGCGAGCTCTGTCGGGCGAAAAGAATGTCGCGATAACAGTAGTCATTATAATGGTAATTAATCGGTGCCGATCACACCCAGCACAGCGTACTAGCTACCTTCGTCCGTATGGTCTAGTGGTTATGATGGCAGATTGCAAATCTGTAGATCCCTGGTTCAAATCCGGGTACGGACTAATGGATACTAGTCGCGAAACCGGGGGTACCCCCTCGCGCTCCTTTTTGTGCGATTTCTTCGTCTCTCGCTTTAGAGTACATTTCCCCTTTTCTTTTCTTTTTTTTTTCCGCAAGCAGTACAGCGTATTATTAAATGTATGCAATCCAATACACTTGGAAATTGCTCTACTCAATACCACGATGCCATGTTCAAACTTAGGCCGATTGTCATAGCACGCCTAGGCCATTAGTTCATCGTAAAACAGACTTGACAGCACAAACGGGGCGGTGTCATCGCTGAATAAGGACAAGTTGACACTTGCAGATTGATCGGCGCGGCCTTGTGGGTGATTGGGTATCTTGTGCTTAAATCGACGTCATGCACCAGTGATTTCGGCTCTAGCAACCCCAACTGCCGACAATGATTGACTACCTAGGTAGTGTATGGAGTAGATGGGGAGGCAACCGTGGTACACTCAGCTAGTATTACCTTCGTTAGTAACTAACTTGGTTGCTTGGCCCTAAAGGTCGTATCACAAGTTGGAACGTTTCGCCGTCCCCCTGCCCCTCTAACAAGCACTCAGGTTTCAGGTGCAAAGGTGAATCAGTGTCATGACGACTGTTGTTGCCACTTGGACGTAAATGCCGCTCTCCATTCTACAATCTTCGGTACATGTGTAAGAGCTAATCAATCTCCAATCGTTGCTTGTGCTCTCTGAGTCTTATCCCAGTGTGCCGGCAGAACTTGCCGCGATCTGACATGATGACAGCATAAACTTGGCAAGGGCTAATTTATAGAGGAATGCGCTAACATGGATTTATTCTGCTGCAATTACAAATGGAAACCTGGGTCTTTACAAGAACAATATACACGCTCTACTACCAAGCAGATTTAGACTCCATGGGACAGTTCAGAGTGTTGTTTAAAAAGAGACCAAGGGATTCCAAAAGGAAGTTCTTACTTACGCCATCTAAGCCCTAGATCGTGCTCACTAATAAATCAAAGCGCCACTGTCAGGTGTAGCGTTGCGCAAGCTAAATGAGCGATCTGACGCTCTAAAAGCTTCCATGTTACGTGTGGTGCTTTCATGAGACGCCACCATTCCTACGCCACTACAATTCAAAGCCTCATGACATTTGAAATTAGCTTCTTATTAGCCCATGAGGCCATAATTTACTATAATCACAAGCATTTCACCATCGTACGTTTCATTATCTGTAAAATGCATGATAGACTCGCCTTTTCAGCTTTGAGGGCTGTAGGCACGTTCTACCAGCTTCAAATCCACCGGCAGCTAGCAGCTCATGGGGCCCATTACGCGGCTCTCGCTCGCTCCCATAACACGGGGACTTGGTTAGTTACCTTGGCATCGGATCGGGTCCGGTAAGCTTTGCTGCACTACCAAGAATCCACTTGGGCTTATAATAGCAGATTCGTAAGTCCCGGAGCAAGTCAGACCTCTACTAATATTATGAAAAACAATATATATTTATGCTTGAGTGTCGGAAATTTCATTCTGGTCCGTCTACAGCTATATATCTTCACGGGTAGCAACAGCAGTCTCTCAGCGAGTCACAACTTGAACTGCCCAAACACAACCGACATTTCTTTCTGATTCGTTGAATAACATAGAAAGAAACAGTTATTTGCGCTTGTACCACTTTTGAACGCGGGCGTTGCCCAAGGCAGCCCTGCCAAAATGTCCCCAGGCCTAGCGAAGAAGTAGTCATCAACTCCTATTAATTGTACCCAGAGAATGTCGACTATGATGCCAAGACCCGTCTTGTGTATACTAGGTATGTGGTTATCTCTGAAATTTGTTAAAGCTTGAAAAAACTCAAGAGCCAGAAAAAAAAGTTAAAGTAAAATAGACGAATGCGTAGTTGGCTAATACGAAATATTTTTGAATAGTGTCTTGTACAACTCCACAGTTGCCGTGTGTGACCCTGTCACGAACCAAATCAAAAAGACCATCGAGCTCGACAAGCTTTCCTACGACCCGGCTCTCCATTCCAGCGGCGTCCAAGTCAACCCGCGAGGTCGTCTGTCAGTCATTGTGAATGCCGGAGCTGCCTTTGACGCTCGTGGCGAGGACATCTCGAGCGACAATTTCCTCAAGTACGACCTTGAGGGCGAGCAAGAGCTGTGGCGGCAAAACCTGACCGCCGTCGGCGTGTACAGCTACTTCCAAGACATTCAGCACGACGGCTGCGGAAATTCCTTTGCCGTCGGCACCTGGCCGGCAGCATCGTCCGCGTTAGTTCTGATGGAAAAGAGGCAGTAGCGTAGTACCTTGCCGACGATACCGACCACACCAACAAAGGCCTTACTGGCCTGGCCTCCAAGGGCAGCATTCTTCTGGCCTCGGAACATGCAGGCGGTAGACTGTTGCGATTCGATATGAAGGCAGACAGGGGCATTGGTACCGCTTGCCTATCGGACAGAATGGAACTAGTCTGTTGGCTCTAGGCCCGACGGCATTGACTTGCCTCAGCGATTCGGAGGCAACGTGCTCCTCGTGTCGTCTCAAGAAGAGGGAACAATTGTGCTTCGCTCGGGAGACGGCGCCTGGACTTTTGCTGCGCGACTTGGTGTTGTGCCCAACAAGTTTCAGAGCCAAGGGGGTTCCACGACGGCGTCTGTGCAAATAGGCCATCGCATCTCTGTTTCGACCGAGTGGTTTGCCGATGCGGCGAACAAGGTTCCTCTCACATTTGCCGTAACCGAACCGAGTTCCCCCTTTATGATGTTACTTCTGATGTCGAAGGCTGGTTGGCTAATGCCCTTGCTTGCTGAGCGTGAGGGTAATATACAACCGCTAGTAGTAGGGTATATACGTGTCTAGTTTTATTCACTGTAGTTGCTATGATAATTTACCGTTGCCCTTTTATGTAATTATGTTGTAACGTGATAAGGAGAGCATTCATGTGCTTTGTTACTATAAGAGCAAAATAGTACGGGGCTTATTCCATGGCGCCTAGTGGACCACACCTGGCATCAAAGGGTAAGACGACCTGTGACGAGGGCCTTGTATAGAGGGCTTGAAGCGATATTCAATCCAGCTCATGATTCGTCTTGATATCAAAGGTCCTTGGTTTTCTCAAGGCCTTCGGGGGCAATAGCTCTTACTTGTATAATATAGCGGTGAGCAAGCGAGCCTAGAAGCCCAAGGCTTTAACTAGGTCTCGAGCCGCTTGTGTATTTATCGTCAGTTCCAAGGGTCGGCCCGTGCCTTTGATACACTGTGACCTCCGCGTAACATGACCAGACGTCTTTTCTATTCAGCCTCATGCGGGGGATGCTATGACACATTCATTACTTAGTACACTAATTATGGTACCCTTTTCTTTTATGCATTGATACTAGCGTTTTAAAGTAAATTTAAAATACCTGAGCATATCTACTAAGCTGGCACACAACCAACATCCCAACGTCATCACTCTCAGATCCTGGCCCAAAAATTCCAAGGCAAGCAAAATATAAAATTATCATGGTTGTCTACAAAATGCTTCTTCTCCCTGCAACCTCTTGAGTGTAAAACAGAACAGGTATTTTCACCGCCAAATATGCCTAATATAGTCTGTAGTGGAAGCACAGGTGTTCTACTGCACCTTGAATAAAGTCGCAACATACAGAGCCATGCCCAGGAAGCCAGTATATGAAAAAAAAAAAAAATTCTATGCACGTCTATAAATTCTCCAACACGAATACAAGTGTCCCCTCATCTATATCCTTCACGCTCTCAGCCAAGTATCCTGCTCCCCGCAGCAAGACCCAGCCAGGCCAAGTTACACCTCCAGAGCCAGGATTTTACCACCCTCAGTGTATGTACCATTGATAGGCCCGGCCTGGCCACCCGAGGTGACGACATACAAGACTTGGCTGCCACGACGCCCCTGGACCTTTCCAAGCAAGGCCGCGGTGGGACCCGGAACAAGAGTCGAGTTGAGATTGCCAGCAACAACCTCGGTGCCGCCGTGCTGGTCAACCCTCACGACTTCATTCCGAGGGTTGGCGGAAATGTAAGCGATTCCCCGCTTGTCAAGGGCAAAATCATCGCCCAGGACGTTCGTGCTGATCGTCTCAAATGGCCCGGCCGCCTCGCCGGTCTCTCGGTCGATGGCCACCCGTCCGTACAAGGGTGCAAAAGTATTGGTGTAGTACAGGTAGCCGTCGAGGAGCCTGATGCCGTTGACGCCGAGCGCAATACTCGCGTTTGGCGCGGGTTTGAAAGCCTCATTGTCCAGCACCGTGGCGTGCTCGCCGGAGAGCGTATCCACGCGGAGCACAAGACCGCGGCCGCTGTCGCTGACGAGAATCTTGCCGGCGCCTGCGTCGAGAGCGGTCATGCCGTTGAGAAAGTTGGCTTCAGGGATGTCCGCAACCTTGGACACCTGGGCGCCTTTGTCGCCGGCAAGGCCCGCGCTCCAGACGGCATAGGTGCCCGCCTGGGCTCCGGCGCCGGAGGAGTAGTTTCCGGCAATGATGGCAAACACATCGGGGGACGTCTCGGCGATTCCAAAAAGACTGGTGTGGCCTGCGAAACGGTGGACCAGCGTCGCATTCGCTGGGTGGCGAGGATCAATCTGGTGCAGTTCCGGCCTGTCGAGCAAGGTGACGAGCAGGTTGCCGTTGGGGCGCTCGGCAATGTTCTCGATCCAGGTTCCCTCTGGAAATTGATGAATCACACGAGCATTGCTGCCGCCCTGGCTTGAACACGAAGCTCCTTCTGCTCTTGGCAGTGCAGAGCTGGCAGCATGCGAAGCCAGACACGCCGAGGACAAGGCGACAAGAGTGTGGAACTTCATGGTTTGTGTATTTGTAGGAGTAGGTGACAAAAAAGAGAGATTTGCTTGGACGTTTCATTTCCAATGATGGGGGGGCTGTCCTAGATTTATATGTCTCGGATGCCACCCCCCAAACGGCTATCGCTGTACCCCGAAGACGTGGTCAGTCTCTTCGCCGTTTCATGATGCTCATGCTCATACTGGATTGCGCCTTACACCCGCCCCTTTGTGTGACCTCGACTCGCCCATTGAAACTGTAGATCCAGTCCTGCAAGTTGGGCCAATTAGGTGCGTATGTGCCACCTCATTCGGCAGGTCACGCAAAGCCGCGTAACGGAAGGAATAGGCCTTGCCTCGCTGGCAGGGTCATGTCTGGCTTGAATACTTCAGCCAACTAATGACGAACCTGCCAGGCCAATGGGCTTGGTTCATGGATACGCTGGTTTTGCGTTTTGACCTTGGACTTGATGACCAATTCTTGGTTTGGGGAAAATGCCTCAACTCTAGGTTCCGAATTTATTGAACCGGGATGGGTCAGTCCGCTCCTACTAACATTTATTAAAATAGGTTACTTATTACGGGTATTAATTACGTACG